CCCGTCCCACCCGATCACACAGAGGGGGCATGCTCTGCACCCCCTCGGCAAAAGAACTACGACTAGCGGGGTCCAGAAGACGGGCCTTCTCTGTAGTAGCCCCCGCACTTTGGAATATCTTGCCCCTGGAGGTGAGATTGGCCCCCCCACTCCTGGCCTTTCGGAGAGATCTGCAGACCTGGCTCTGCCATCTGGCCTGGGGTGAGGAGGGGGATCATCAACTGTGGGGTTGGCTAGTCCCTTAGTGGCCTAGCATTGCTGCCTTGAACCATCGGCCTCCTGGATTTCTTCCCTTTTATTTTCGTGAATGTATTGTTATTGGTTTTAATTGTACATTCATTTATTGTTTTAATGTGTTGTGAGCCGCCCATTGAGGGGAGATGGGCGGGGGACAAATTTAATAAATAAATAATAATAATTTATATCTGACTACATGTGGGATAACAATTGGGAGAGGAGAAAATAAGAGGAAAGACAATGAGACTGAAATATATACATGTATGTGTGCATTTTATATAAAACATTATAGGTCTGAAGGTATAATGCACCTAAAAAAATGACCCTATATAAGTATTAATTTTGAATAAAATCTTATTAAATTCAATTTTTTATGGATAGGTATTTAGAATATAAAAAATGACGATGACATTCTGTTTTGGTTTATAGTGAACAGATAAAGATTGCCAGTAATATTTGGAAATGAACCAATCAGCATCAGAAAAAGTTCTCCCAGGTATTTACCAGCAGGTGTCTTGTTTATTTTAAATATCTAAGCATCTTTGTATTATTGCTGCATTTAAATTAAGTTCATACAATAATTTGTTGTTTTGTCTTACTGCAGAGTCCAGTAGGACCTTGGGTAGTAGTATAAAGTCAGACTTCATGAAAGGTATAAAAGGACAGGGACAATAATTGTAACTACTTATGTCACAATTTCCAGCTTATTTATTAACAGTGAATTACAAAACCAGCGGTCATTTTTAACTGGAGCTGTTGTCTGTCTCATAAAAGTGCATTTCTACAGTCTGGCCACCGGGTGGACCACTGAGTCACTAACACAGGGAGCAATGCTCAAAGCTTTAAAAAAGGAGATGCCCAATTCTGAAATCACCAACCATCCTTCCTGGATCTCTTCTTCACTCTGCTTATACTCCTCCCTGTCTACTCCAATCCACATAGAAAACAATATATTAATGATTTTGTCTCCCTAGCATCAGATTCACTGAGAAAGTTGTCAGGCTCCTATTGCCAATAATAAAAGGCTGACATTTATTTCATTCAAAGCTCTCCTGCAATGTTTCTCAACCTCAGCAACTTTTAAGCTATGTGGACTTTAAGCTATGTGGACTTCTGGGCCATGCTGGCTGGGAAATTTTGGGAGTTGAAGTCCACACATCTTAAAAGTTGCTGAGGTTGAGAAACACAACTCTACTGAGAAACACAGTTTGTAATACCAATGCGCACCCTTATAATATCACAGAACCATAGAGTTCGGACCTTAGGAGCCATCTATCCCAGGCACTTGCTTAGTGGAAGATCCACTGGAGCAGGGTTCCTCAACCTTGGCAACTTTAAGATGGGTGGACTGGGGAATTCTGGGAGTTGAAGTCCACCCGTCTTAAAGTTGCCAAGGTTGAGGAACCCTGCACTAGAGAATCTCTCACAGCCTCTATCTGAAGACCACCAGCACAAGGAGAACTCAGCACTTCATGTGGTATCCTCTTCCAGTGGTTGACAGCTTGTATAATCAAGAACTCACTCTTGACAGCTAGTCTGAAATAATACATATATATAAATATGCACACAAAATGCACGATTCTTTGTTGCCCCATTCAAAATACAATGAATCCTCTGCTTCTGGTCCTGCCCTCTGGGGCAGCAGAGCTCAACAAAGAACCATGCATTTTTTGTGTATATAAGATATATACATGCATGCATGGACTCTTAGTAAATGTCCATGGGAATCTCATCAAACATAGTAACATGGATTATGAGGAATCCCTATTCAAGAAAAAGAAATTCAATTATTATTACTGAAAACAATTTGAAAAAACAAGCAGGGGTCTTATGGAATGAGCGTATGCTGTCATCAATTATTAGTTTTGTTGATCAAACTAACATGGCTACCTATCTCAAATAATATGGAAAAACGTTTTAAACAAGCGAGCGAGCAACCAAACACAACCCCACACACTCTAAGATATTCTAATACAGCCTTTCTCAATCTGGTGTTCATCTGGACTACAGTCTCATCTTCCCTAGCCATTACGGGTATTGGAGTGATGGGCTAACACATCTGGAGGGCACCAGGTTGGGATACAGTGTTCTAATTGTGTTCAACCATGGGAAGTTTCCTTTGTTATTGCTTTTTAATGCCCTGCTTATATTGCCAGAAAGCTTGTGTATGGGATACAAATCTTAACCTGTTGTGAAAGTGATAGATTTCTTCCATATTTCCAAACAAAACATCTTTCTTATTTTGTAGCCCAGGTGAAATGAGATGTGCCATTAAGGGGTTGTCCATTTCTGCCGCATAGCCCTGTAATACAAAAGGGAAGCAGATTAATTGCTTTCATTGAGTTCCCATTAAGTGTCTTCTCTTTCCAACAACTGCAGCCTGCTCGCTGCTGATAAACAGGTAGCAATATTTCAACAGCTATTAATCTGCTCAGACTCCTAATACAGAGCGAACATGTTTTAACAGTAACTCTATTTTACATAATATAAATATTGAACATTTAATTTTGAAAAATCTCACATGAACAAGAAAGTGCTTTTTTTAAATAATCGACATGTATTTCTGAACTGTTTATATGCATGGAAGTCAGAACTATTTATAACCACATATACAGCTGGTAATTTGAATGTTTTGACTCCAGAGTTGATCACAAGGACTGCAGGTTCTCACAGAATGACCTTTCAAGGCAATTGTTCTTTCTTCTTCCTTCCTGACCCAAGTTCCTGTTTATGACTTCTGCGCTAGGCAACAAAGCTAAATCTATTATTTAGCATTTCCACAGATCAGGAAAGACGCAGAAACCTGCTCTTTAAACACTCATTAGGCTAGAGAAGATTCTGATTTTAGCTGATGTATCCAAAACAAATGGCTTAGAAAGGGAAGTAATACGAAGTGGCAGAATTTGGTCCTGGAGAAATTCTCTCAAGAGGGAATATGTGTTTAGCAAAGGAAGATTATGGCAATGACATTCTAATTCCCCCTTCCATGCCATTATATTTAGGTCATTATATTACAGTCTTTATTTCATCTACCACTAGAAACAAGGAGAGTAAAAGGGGGATTGCCTTAATCTTAATGGGAACTAAGATATTCTGCCATGAAAGGGAAATTGATGTCCATGTTCATGATATTTTCAGTTTCTCTTGCCTCCAGCAAAAATACCTTTACATTAAAATATGGGGATCAGAATATATTTCCAACAGACTAGCTGGTTGTGAGCCAAGTTGGAAGAGAGGAAGTTTATATCTTCCTGACTTCAATTTTCCTTCTTAACTTCAGTGACCTTTCATGGTGGAGAACATATTGATAGAATCCACCCTGTTTGGGTAACAAAAGATCTGGCTTCTCATATTGTCAGCATTCACATATTGCACTTAGGCCATATTGTTTCTTAGTTTATTTCTTCAGCAAATTGTAATTAGGGTTACACACACACACACACACACACAGCGTTTAAGGTGATGTGAGCTCAGCGGACCATCTCTTCTAAAGTGAACAGTGCCCAGCAATATTCACATTAAGAAAAAGCAGGCTGCCAAATTCCCCCAAGTCAAAGGGCTGATTTTTTGGAGAAGAATGTTTATGCCCTGTAAGGTCACATTTGTCCCACAAATATTTGACTCCACTTACTACCTTCCATGTAAATATTTCAGATCATGTTCTATGCTACAGGATTAATTAAGAAGTCATTTTAAATATACCATTGGCAAGGATTTAAAATATATACCTCAAGAACACAGAGAAGTTTTTCCACATAAGCTCGTTCAGTTTCAAGAAGTTCATTCATAACATGTCTGTCAACATAAGGAATAAATTAATCATTAAATGGTTTCAGATTTCAAAGTTTCTACATGTGTAGAATTTTAATCACTGGAGATCAAGGATTGATTTTTAATAAATACTAGCAACTGCAAAACAAGATGCATGCTGCTTCTTAGATCTGATTACGGAAAAATATTTTTAAGAACATTTTACCAAAAATTGTATGACTCAACCCAACTAATATGCTAGTAAAAATTATTGCTGCGTCCAATAGGATGGATATAGAAATACTGCCAAGAAAAAAAAGATTACTGATTAGAACTGTATGACTACTGCTTGATTAACACATTCAAGCTGCCCATTAATGACTTCTACTACCTTTAAATGCAGTTGTTTGACATTAACCTGGAATATTTCTGACATGCTATATTTACATATAGATGCTTGTATAAAGATCTACTCACTTGCGTAACACTGCTAGATTTTCTTCATCATCTGTCATGGATACACTTCTAGATTGCTGGATTTCACTTATCTCACTCTAACAAAAACAACAACTTAGCATCAAACAAAACTTCAAAGCCAAACTTCTCCTTTCCAAAATATATTTGGCTAAAAAGAGAAATCTGGTTTGCATAAATGCAATTCATACCAAATTTTTAAGTGACATGGCATGCATGCATATGTTAATACAGCCTACTGTCATTTACAACTAAAAATTAAGGAATAAGTACTTATACTGCAACAAAAGTGCCCCAAATGCATTATGCAAGGATACATTGATTGAAAAGACGTGGGCATTAGGCAAACTGTATAATATAAACTCATATTAGGAGAAATGCATGTGAGACATAGTTATTGCTAGTCCTTTCATCTTAAGCAACTGTTTATTTTTCAAATCCTGGTGTAGGATGGTGGGACACAATTTGGCTGCTCCTGATCTCCAAATCAAGGTTACTTGATCAAGGAAAGAACCATTAATGCAGAGTCTTTCTCTTGCAGTAAATGCCCAACTCTTCTCCTTACTGTAGCACCAGCAATAGAAAAGTGGTATCTAAGCTCTGATAGCTTTGACTCAATAAGGCTGCTTCATATGCTTAGGGAGAATTTAATATTTTAACTGTCTCTATTTCACTCATCCACTGTTACCTTGATTTTTCCAAAGTTCACTCTCCTTATTGCATGATTATCAGGGCTGGATGAATCTTCAGACTCTATTTGAAGGCCTGTTATGTGAAACAGAATCCAATCACTTTAACTACAGCTCGTGTCAAGTTAAGCATAATTGCCAGATCAATTATTTTTGTTTTCAACAGGTCCGAATACCTTGACTGAGGGTTTCTTACCTGGATAAGGTGATTTTAGATATCCCTCTGGTCTAGGTGCTACTGGCTGAACAGGGCGTGTCTGCCTAGCTGCCAGTTTCTTAAGACTGATCTGCCTCTTTTGAAACATTTCTTCCATACTTTTCTGTTTCTGAAAAACCTTTTGTACATGTTCCTGTAAAAAGAAGGGCCAAAATTCTATATGCTTAACCCAATTCATAGAACATCATTTCAAAAGCTGAATTTGAATCTAAAAGCAATTCACAAAGAATGTGCTCAGTCTTATCGTTGATTTGATTCACTACACAGAAAACATTTCTTAGACCAAATCTAAGCAGATGAGTTATGATTTTTTTATATATTTGAGAGCTTTGCAGGACTGGGATGGTCTAGAGAATTTGCAGCCATTGTAAAAACCAAATGACTGTCTACTCCATATGTGAGTATAGTGCCTCTGTTAAAACAAGGGATTTGGGTACAAGATAGTGCATTTAGGGGTATCCATAACATTTACGATTCCCAAATCTCAAAAATACTACATTGCAGTAATTGGGTGGCTTTTCAAGTAAATTAACTGACCTATAGAAATCTAGCAATAACAAATATACTACCACATTATTTATGTTATTGCTAAACCTCTGTAGGTGAGGTCTTTACCAAAACATCAGTTAATTTATTTGAAAAGCAACCCAAATAGGGCATTGACATGATAGTTTATGGAGGTTAACATAAGGATTAGAAAGCTGAACAGATATATTAAGTGATTTCAACTCAAATATTCCAATTTATTGCTTGTATATGCTTTTGTATAAATGTGACCAAATATTGTTCTAAAATCTTGATATTAAGATTACCATTAATTCCTCGGTGAGGATAGCTTCAAATTCTTTGGACAAGTAATTTGGTTCCCTGAGTTTATTATCACCACCCATCTCCAAAAATGTCTCAATCTCCTGCAGAGCTGATTCTGCTCCATCCTGCGACTGGCATTTGTCTACAGGTTGAGAAGCCAGCAGGTAAATTCCATCATCACACCACTTCATGCACTACAAAGGAGCCAAGAAAAATACATCGTGAAAATGCTGCATTATACAAATGACTTATAGGCCCTTATAGGCCCTCAAAATTAACAGAATGATTTGAAGACACGGGGACTCTTTCAGTTATACTTTTCAGGCTACTGTGTTGTGAGGATGAGTTGTAAGACTGCTTGCCTCATCCAGAGACAGGACAGTGAAACCTGAAAATGGTGGGAAAGATGTAAAATTCTATCTCCAAAGAGTGAAAGTCAGAAGGAACAAAACATTCCAAAGGTTCTAAAGTCAGAGACCTAAGAGCCAAACGACGTGTATCTTAGCTAGGTAAATCTGTATAACTTGATTGCTGTTTATTCCTCCCTGCAAATTGCCATTCTAGTATGTTTGAATGGATCAGGACCCCAGGATAAGGAGTTATTTAAACCTTTATCTTCTGCTACAGACTCAACTGCACTATGAGCACAACATGCTAGCATTTCTAAACACCACATTGTATCATGTGTCATGTTTATCCTAACAGAAACTTTTCAGAAGATGAGGTTTTCTTTTCTTTCTCCCCTCACAGAGACTGCAGAACTGTATGATTTGACCACACCATATACATTGAAAGAAGACATTTTTCTGATTTGTCACACTCTAAAGTGATAACAGGATATAAAGGTTCACATGTCCTTCACTAGACTCTTTCACAACTGCCTCTTCATCCTTTATCATCTGGGAAGGCCTTCCTTCTTACATAGCTCCGATGAACCTGTGCACGTTCTTTGGAATGGCCGCTGCTTTAAACTGTTGCTAGAGATAATTACGATATTCAGTGGAAGCTTTCGAGAAAAGATTGGGCAACCATTTGTCTGAGATGGTCTGAGGATTTCTGTATTGGGCAGGGGGTTCAACTAGAAGACCTCTGAGGTTTCTTCCAAGCCTCTAATTCTATGATTCAGAGTGGAGGATTTAACATTTCTTTTCTTGTCACTTTAGTAAGAGAATACTAAAGCTTCCTCCTCCTTCTGTTATTAACCAAACACTTAACAAGTTTCTAGATTACATAATGCCCATAGATGGTTTGTATCATAAATCAAGGCCATCCTCTTTGGGGCTTAAGTAACTTTAGGCTTCTTTTCATTGCCTCATCCTTCTAAGCAATGACTGATGGCCTTGCTTTTTCCTATCCAAATTCTCCTACCTTTTATCAGATTCCTGCAGTATGCCAAAGCATATGAGAGCATCTGTAATTTGCAGATTTTTCCTTGTGGTGGCTTTAATATCCCTGATAAATTTCATATTTTGCAGCATCGACATGACTTTCACATAATGTTTCTGCACTTTATATAATGTTGCTTATACCTAAAGAATAGAACAGGATGGAAATGTCTGTCTCTGTCCCAGCTCCCTTAATCTGCTTCTTTTTCATGCTGCCTTCTGCTTGATCTGCCATCCATGATTGTATCTTGTCCTTCTGTTAGCATTTTACCATTAACTTTGCATCGGTACCTGACAATTACTATTCCAGATACGGCTTATATAGATTTAAAGCTTAATCAGCAAATAAGAGGGGAAATAGATAAGACTAGATATACCTTTTCCAACCATCTATGTAATTCAAATGAATGGTTCAGGAGAGCTCTTTTTTTATCGACTTCTGAAATAATTGTTTCATAGTGATGTTGGAGTTCACTGCACTTTGGAAGAATAGAGTCCACAGCATAATGCTTGTTTTCTATAAACTGGTCACCTTTAGAAATTAGTATGCTGGCTTTTTCCAAAACTTCCTAAGGAAAATAATTAATATAACAAGAAAATGTAAGTTGTAGCATTTTCTCTTTATCGATGTGCCCCACTGGAAAATGGCTCAAAATAAAGAAACCTTAAATCTTTACTTGTGATTTTTCTTCAAAACTGGCAAGATCTTTCAGAAGGTGCTCTACATGTGAACTGCTGTTTCCCACTTCTGTGAAATGAAATAATTTCTCAGACACACTATCAAGTGCTGTTTTGACCTAAATGAAATAGAATATATAAATTTTTGTAAGTCACAACAATATAGCAAAATTTCAAATCAGACTTCGGATCACAGAAATCAGCTAAGGCTTATGATCATAGAAATATACATAAGCAGTATTTCTTGAGGAACTTCCTATTATGGTTCTTTAGGTCATACAGTAATTTTTAAATAACTACAGTACATCGAGTAAGCTAATATTGATAAAGTATAGCAATTATCTATGCTTTTAATTCCATTTTATCACTTAAATATTTAAATTACTATTTTATGTGTATCATATGTAATTATTACCAATAGCTTTGATGTCATACAATGGATAATCAAAAACATATCTGATGAAATATTTTGCCTAGTATAGAATAAATGAAAATTTAAGAAAATGGAAACTTTTAAGTGAAAATAAAACTGAAACACTGCTGCTAATCCAGAATTGTCTTAATTAGACCAACGTATCATATACCTCTTTGAAATCTAGTTCGAAATGTCTCAGTTGTAAGCATTGCTCAAGCTTCTGCTGATGTTTAGACCAAAAGTCATCAAAGGCTGCTTCTGTCTCATCTAGCTGAGATAAAAGCCTTAAAAGAAAAAGAGAGATAAATATGTTTTGCATCAGGCATTCCCAAACTGAGGGTGGGGTAAGGGGAGTGAGAAATCCCTAGGAGGAGAAAAGATGTTAGAAAAAATTATAGCATTGAAAAATACAGTAGTTAAATGAAAATCTAACGAACTGGAAATATTGGTGGGGATGGCTAGATTGATGGGAGGAAGGTGGGTGTGTGGCAGGGAGATTGACAGCAGATTGCTGGGAAGCTGAGGGGCACAGAGGCCTGAAATACTCTTTCAGGAACATACAAAATAATGGATGGATTTAACAGACATTTGGGTGGGTAGTTTCTAAAAATCAAAAAGGGGGATGAAAAGTTTGGGAATCTATTCTATACCACACTTCTTTTCCAAATCTAATCTATTAGAAGTCAAAAAGTTGATATTCCATGCAAACCACAAACAAGGATATTAAACCAAAGGTAATGCTACACTCTAGTTTAGCCTTTCCCAAGTCGGATCTCTTCCAGATATATGGCCTTCAACTCCCAGAATTCCCCAACCAACAGGTTCATTGATGAGAATTTGGGACAGCTGAGGTGCATGCTGGTTGAAGAAAGATGGTTAATTAACTGCTTGTCTGACTCAGTATAAGTAATTTATTATACCTATATTCTTCCTTGTGTGGGAAGCCTAAGATCTTCAGGACAATTCACACTGCAAAATTTACAGGATTCCTCTTGCAGACTAGATCAAATGCTAACTTGTTATGACCATCTTTGTTTTATTTTGCCAGACGGTTTATTTTTTCAAGGAACAATATAAGTACAACCCTGTATTTTGATTGGTACATCTGCAGAATTTTGATTCTTTTTCTGAGAGAGAGAACATAGCTAGATGGATGACATCTGTTTTCCATATTGGACCTTCACAAAGGTATTAACATCTTATTATCAGGAAGATTTTGGAAATAGAAAAACAGGAATGCAGTGAAAATATATACTACATATACTAGATATATCTCACCTTTCCACCGTAATCTGATTTTCTGTTTGATCCGGATTCATTTTGTACTCTGGGTTTTCAAGGACTGGTTTTTGAATACTGTGGAGAATATCATGACCTTGCCTTAATGCTATTTTCAAATCTTCCTGCAGAAAAGTTGAAAAGGTATAGTTGGGCTCTGCTTTCATGAGAATTCAACTTGGAAATTCCATCCCAGGAGTTTTGAAACAATACAATCTAAGCTAAAGATGGGTAACCTGTGACCTTTCGGTAGTATATAACAAACTCCCCCTTCCCCAGACAAGGGACTGTCAAATTTTTTTTGACACAGTTGAACAACAGTGTGATTTTCCACTGACAGAAAGCAAGCACCAGTGAGTTATGCTGCTCTGAATACATGTACAATATAAAAGTGAGATAAAAAGATTTAAAAATAAATAAATAAATAAAACAAATTTTACTAAAAAATTACAAAACCTAATTCTGTTTGTGTGTGCATGTGTGCACAAACCCCAGAATCTTACTCCAACATAGTAGTGCCAAAATAAAAGTTAACTAATCCAGTTGCTATAGATAAAAGTCATGTCAGAGGAATTGCTTTGCCACATTTATAATTTGCAAGCATTTCAGGATTTTGTTACTGTTTTACCAATATAATATTTTAAACCTTTAGATCTACTGAAAATGTGAGGGATCATAAAATTTGCTGGCACTGATATCAGAGGGAGGATGCCACACAACATTCAAAGGGAAAATATGCAAAGGAAAATAAAACTAAAGACCACTTACTCAATAAAATTACCTTATATAACAATTGCTAGCTTACCTTCATTTTGTCTCTGCTGTCTGTATGTGTTGCAAGGAGGTGGCTGGTGGACTGAGCGTCATTTGGCAGCTCTGTTTCTGCAAGTTCATTTCCAAAGGATTGAAGTGTTTGAGCTGTCTGCTTAACCATTTGAGCAAAGCTCTCTATAGCCTTATGAATTACAAATACATGACACACATTGGACATGGAAGACATCTATTTAATATGTATACATATAACACTAACTCTAAAAATCAGCAATTGTTATTTGTAGAAGTAAAATGACATATATTTGGTTTTAAATGTAAATGTATGTCAATAGGTGTAAATAAAATTATCTCCGTGGAGTCATTGGTTCTCTGAATTTGGTTGCTTGCTTGTAGACATTTCATTACCCAACTAGGTATCATCATCACTGCAAGTGAATGTGGGGTTGCTCCCTGTTTATATAGAGTAGTTTACCCTGCCAGTGTTGGTGGGGGTGTGGTTTTGTCCTTGGTAGTTTCTTGATTAGGGTATTGTTTTGAAATAGCCTCATCAGCAGAGGAAATGACAACAAATTAGAAATACAAGTCTATTGAAAAACAACCCACACTAACCAAGTGCTCCATTACCAAAGTAAC